GTTAACAACACTTACACAATTTTTTTCCTCATGCTTAAAACATGAGTCAGCTATCAAACCTACTAAAAGAATTTTTCCCTTTGATGTTGAGATTTGTTCACATATAGTAACTGATTTGTAAAGGCTTTATCCCATACAAAATCTTTTATACAATGGTGAGAAAGCTGTACATCAGATAATTTCTATGCAATTTTTTCTAAATAAAACTGTTCTTATATGTAAATTTCTCTTGCACCCATGAGAATACTGGATATATAATGATTGTTCCTCTTTACACACCCGATATATAAACCCTAAGAATCTCTAACAAGGTTAATGTTGATGAAAATTTTTCTCCACGTCGCAACTCAATACAATCCGGACTTATTTCTCTCTAATTTTCGAATCCTTCGATATTTCTCCCGTTGTTCTATGTTATTACTTTGAACTTCATTCTACTATAAACGGGATACTTCTAACCTGGTTTTATTGTATTTGTTATTTGCACAACAATAAAGGATAACTATTATATTCCTCGAACACATCACCAATCGGTATTCAGTAAGTCACAATTTTTATAAAAAATCACTGCTTTATGACTAACAAGAAAGATACCTCATCTTCTCACTTTTTAGATTTTCTTCCACGACACCCACGTCTTGTCGAAATGTAGGAGGGCAGGGAAGAATCAAAGGAGGGCAATTATTATAAAGTATAGGCTTAACCCACACGTCATCTAATTATTAGATTGTAGATGTTCCTAATTTTTCTTGGTAAATTCTAACAAGGACTTCCAGAAATCTGAATATGCCCATTGTATAAAATATTGGCTTCAAATTATCAAAAATCCACTACTTCCAGGCTTGTAAAAATGTGCGAGATAGCATTGTGCAAGTAAACAAACAACTGTGGTCATTATAAGCACAAATCAACGTGATCGATAATATATATCTTAATCACCTTGCTGTTATCTTTACTATAATTTTGCTACATTTGCTGAGTTAAAATAATGAGAAATAAAAGATGTGAAATTACTGATTTATCGATAAAGAGTGGTTTTGATCTGATTCGGTATACCATTTTCAACTTCTGGAGAGGTTTCATTCACGCTTAAGGTTTTTTTGTTACTAAAAAAAATATGGTTATTAGAAAAACTTTTGTTACTAAAAATATTAGAAAAAAAAAAAGTTTTTTCTATATATTAAGAAAAAAGTTTTTCTATAAAGTTTTTCTATATACTAGAAAAAACTTTTGTTACTAAAAAAATATGGTTATTACAAAAGGTCTCAAGGCAACAAAAATTTCATCCAATTCGACTTTTCTGCTTATATAACTTTTGGACGAACAATGTTATTTGAAATTGATAGAAATCAATAATCGTAAGTGTCGTTTCTCCGTTTCGTGCCAAATTAAACTGCTTTAGTTTAAAGTGGAGCATACTGCGATACACTGATGTGCTTTTCAGTAGTGAACTGAGTAAATGATTTGACAATAAGCATTCTGAGATTTTTTTTCAAAAAAATGGGATGGGATGTACTCGGTTGGATGCTTAGACAAGCAGTAAAGTGGTTGTAGTCATTCACAAATCTCCTCCATGTGTTATCTACTGATATAAGTTTATGGTTCATGTTCAGTCGTACTTTTTATTTTTTGCTTTCTTAAGTGCAATAAAAGGTACCACTTACGTGTTTAGGTATTCCGGATGCTGTCCTCTGTCCCTTACTGAGACCACTTCCAAGAATCTATGGTATTTTCTCCTATTTCTATTCTTCTCTTCCCACTCTATTTTAATTTTCCAACATGAAAGGGAGGAACTGTTATAATGTTACAATGTGGGAAGAATTGTTACAATGACCGTTAATGTAGCCCATGTCACTTTGATTGGTAGTCATCAATAGAAAATTTTTTTTACTTGCAATGAATGTAGTAACTCAGCCACAAATTTGGAATATGATAGCAGTGACGAATAGAAGATTGCCGGGGTCGGATAAGGTATGGCTGTGCGTCAGTAAAACAATGTCGCGGATTCCCGGGTTTAGAGCTTATATAGTGGGAGTTTGTTAATGAAGCCCACGTCGTTTACTACAGTCCATGAGATCAAACCAACTCTAGAGTAATAAATAGTAGCATATGTACAAGAAGCGGTAAGATCAAAGTATAATATTGTTACAGTACTATACAACGGCACGTCTGATTTTTACAACATGAAGACAAGGACGTAAACAACAATATGTTTGATCTCAATAAATTCTAAGAAGGGCTATATTTAAAATATAAGGTCCCTCGGTTTCCCGACATTCCCAACAGAGGGGATTATATTTCTTGCGGAAGAATCGGGAATTGTCGTTAAGTGGCACTTTTAGTTCGTAATACTGTAGAATCTTCCGGTTTGTCGATCTCCTAATGGTTGGAGTGAACTCTTGTGTCTCCGTTATCACTGGTCCATGTGTGGTTGCACTTCAATTATGTCAGAGCGCAACCGATCTTGGTTTATTTCGTCATGTTGTTCCCTTTTATAGAATTGAAGTAGTCCAATCAGGTTTCGCAGACAGCCGAAACACAATCCGTAGTTATAGCTCAATTTGATTCCAGATCTCTTCCATGGCCAACGTACTTGATATCTTTCATTACGTTTGGTAATACCCTTTCTAAATTGTTTCAATGTTTGTTCATCCTTTTGAGCTTTGGGCTGTTCCTATTATCTATATACTCCAATTTCCAGAATTGGTCTATAACAGGAACGTGATTTGCACTGGCAGCATTTGTTGCGTTGGTAGATAGTGGTAGAGTCTGTCTGTGTTTTCCCTTCCGGCTATTATACGGCCTACGTTGTTTCCAATCGCTCTTTAAACTATTCAATTGGTCTTTATTTTCCATGGATAAAATTTCGATTATTTGGAACTCATCGGTCACGTGGTCAATTATGTTGGCCTCGGAAATTATTGTCTCCATCTTTTCAGTTCTTACTCAAACTTGTATTTTGGTTAGGCGATGTAATTTCGGTTCTTTAATGCCGAAGAAGGATATACGGCTTTTTTATTCTTCGGTTTCTGTTAGATCTAGTCGATCAACTAATTTTTGAGATGTAAAAGTTGATTATGCGCCAACATCAAAAAGTGCAAAACTCTTTCATGAAGTTCAGATCTTTCCGGATTGAATACGCTAATTTCCTTACATAAAATCTTTCCTTACTTTTTAATAAGAAAAGACTTCCTTACTTTTTAGTCCAGTTATTGTGAGAATGGCAATGTTCCCATTATTTGTTGTAACTTTCTTTCCTTCAGCCGAAGAATCTTTGTTTGGTTTCTTGATTCTTGATGTCGCATAGAGAACGCTGTAGTGAAGTTTTTTGCATTAGAAGCAACGTGCCAGTTTTTTGCAGTAGCACCCGTAGCCTTACTCCGCAGCAGTTTAAACATGCATTGAAGAATCTTGTTGCTCTTTGAACACGATTAACTCGTTGCTTGAGAATGGGATACAAGTAACATTCGTTGTCCCAGTGATCCTTGCCACAAAATATCTTCTCTTTTTACTTGTTGAATTTCTCTCGAGATTATGGCTGACTTTGGTTTATGTTGGTTGATTACAGCTAAAGTCGACGTTTCCTTCCGTGAATCAGGTAACCTTCGATTTGGTTGAGTGATCTTGTCAGCGCAGAAGTGCAGAAACTTTTCTCTGTGTAGTCCGGTTGGAGCTGTAATTGATTGGAATTTTTGGGCTTCTAGTACTGGAGGGTTGTTTTATCATCGTTGTTCGTTTCTATCAACTAATTTTCTGAAAAATTGTCGGAGTTTTGTAAATGACCATAATTCACCATCGTCCTTTTGTTTCCATATTTTATTCAATATCCATCCTGGCACTTTAGTTTCTATGGCGGCTTCAATCCTAGTATGCTCTGCGATTTTTTAATAGTAGACGAATCTCCAGATTTTTCTAATAATATTTCTCTTATAACTTTATAATTTTCCGGCGCTTTATCATAACCTGCGACAGCTTGTAGGGCATTTCTCTTTAAGCAGGATATCAAACAGCTCAATTATTGGATGTCTGTAATCTCTTGAGAGTGTACTGCAGCTTTGAAACTGATCCAAAACTCCTTCCAGCCTTTAGGGTCACCACTGAACGTGGGATGGCAACTGTGGTAGATTTATTGTTAGGCTACTTGAAGAAGCTCTCTCGTTTGAGAGACTCCCTCTGTTGTTTCCTTGTTCCATTCACCTTGAGTTAGATTTGGAGAGCTAACTCATCGTCGTTCTTGTACATAAAATTATTATGGTAGCTTCTCTACCATTACTAATCAATTTCAAAATACTTTCATCGTCGTTCACCATTTCTGTGTACTTCTTTCTTTTATTTGGAGACGCGATTTGTTAAACATATTCCAATCATTTTTCGTTGATTATTTTGAGAAGGGCAGTATTCATTTCGAAGCGCATCAGCCTTTCTTTGAGAATCCTTGTTCTGGCTTTGTATTTTTGGCGTAGTTCCTCCTTCGTCAAAGTTTGATCGAATGAGGTTAGATCCATTGCTCCTACTTTGTTGACTCCTACTTTTAAGCAATCACGAAACTCGTGATTGCTTGAAAGAGTAATACTGGTTTTGCCTCACCAAGATAATATTTTTGTTTCCTTTCGTTTCAGTTGTTTTTCTTGTGGTCAAGGAAGCTAAATCGCAATACCCAACTGCTTCCTTTACATGGTACCATGACCTCAGGAATTCAGATCGATTCTGAGCTCAACATCTCCAATAATATGATATCTGGGTTTGTTTTGATTTTGTAAGACGGTACATTTTACCTACTGCTAAATATGTGTTATCATCGCTGTTTGAATGGTTATCTTTAATTTCTGCCTTCTGATGATAAATATCAAGTAGGCGTATTCAATCCATAAATGGTACTTAATTATTATTGTCAAGAAAAGTACTGAAACAACTAAGTGACGCTGAGTAAAGAGGGGATAAAATCCTATCAATTCAGTGTACAGAGATGTACCACAATTCGCGAATTCTGCATCTAACGACTGTGACCTTCAATCGCCACTCTTGCATTCAGCGCGATATTGTTCATACAACTGCCAGCAGGTACAGTTGTGTCAGTCTTCTCCGCTCCCAGTTTGCTGATTCAGTCATATGTTCCGGTGTTACGAGATTCACCAACAGTCAGTAATTTTTTTTTACATCGCGATATTTCTGCCGAGATTTCGTTAATGCCTCCACCGACAGCAACACATTTTCCCGAGACTTTCAGCTCACATCATAACATATAACCTGAAAAATCGCCGACATTAATCGCCGACACGCCGGCATTAATTCGTTAATGCCTCCACCGACAGCAACACATTTCCCCGAGACTTTCAGCTCACATTATAACATATAACCTGAAAAAGATCCCTAAAAGTATGCGACTACATTATCATCATTCCCAGTTCAGCACTATTAGTTTTTATTATTCAGCATTAGGTGGAAAATTACAATCAATTAATAACGGAAATATAACCCAATTAGTGATCAGTAATAAATAATAACTGATAGTACTGCCTTAAGTTCAAGTTTAGTAAATTAACTTACGAGGAACAGTTTTCGCGTTGGATGTGGTCACTAGAATGCGTACGTGAGTAATTATGTAAAAAGGGAAGAAAGTATTGAACGTTCACTAATAACTGACAACACCGACATGGTGATTTCGCAATGTCAAAGAGTGTAACAGTACGCGTTCGTAACGATGTTTTTGAGGGGCGAATATATCTACGCCAAACTGATGTGCGAGAATCTTCAGATGGATCAAAAAAAAGCACTTAGTCACTTTGTTATATTAAAATTTAAAGTCCAAATAAAAGTTCTTGAAATTGCAAATGTTATTTTGAATTTCCTAAAACGAAAATCGTTTTTGGACAATACATCAGTTATATATTTGCAATATAGAATAATCTTTTCTTGGTAACTACAACCACCCAACTTGTCCCTCATCTCGAGATATCCCAGATTACTAAGTTAATATGGAACGGGAGTGTACGATTGTGCACGAAGAAAGTTATTGTGCTGCAATAAGTGCGCTGATTCGTCGAATCATTTTGTTGACGTTGTACGTCTTCCCTTGTATCCCACTGGCAAATTGTTACTGGGTGGACTCAGTGAGGTTGAAGAGGTGGTGGACAGGGACTCTTGGGGAAATATGTTTTATACGACAGTGACCACGGAGATTCTTTACAAGATAGTGGCAACAAAAGGTTGCAAGCTTGGATGGGAAGACTAATTGCTTGGATGTTTTGTTGCCCATCTCGAATACCTGGCAGTTTTGCACACTTTTTTTTGCTTTTTCTCTTGGTCTCTCTGAAAAGCACTGCACTGAATGGACAGTGGGATCTTCAAGGATATCTTCGGACAGCAATAGGAACCACAGTGAAGTCATGCTATTTTCTAGACTTCTCAAAGAGTTAGGAGCTTATATACTTCGTTTCGTTCGCTGCTAATATGAAAATGACATCTGTTCGCTTTCAGCTCATTTTCTTCGTTGATTATTTAGCGAAAAACTATCTCGGGATTTGCATGTTAAAACATTTTTACTTATAGGTTATTCGATAATGATATTGAGGTGGATTGTAGTTTTGCTACTTTCTTTACCATTTTTATTTGGAATTAAACCAAATTCTCCACCATTAAAAGGCGATAATTCCAACACCAATATTGAAGACGAGGGGTCTGAAAAAAAGGTTGTTTCAGTTCTCGCGAAGGCTCAGTAACATGGCAATAAGATTTTTCCGTTCATTTTTCACCTGTTTAGGTGCCATTATTTAAGTTTGATTTTTTCGATTATTCACTTTCTTAGGTTTTTGATAGCTTTCAGGAAGAACGAACCACTGATAGATTAGTTCTGTTAAATAACGAAGGAGAAACGATGGATACAATGAGTCAGAAGCAGTCACCCGGTATTTACACGACTTTTTGTTTTTTGACAATTTGTGCTTGAAGCATGTGAAGTGATACTTTTCTTTGTTCGATGTATACAGGACACAAGCAGTTCTAACCGAAAAGTTTATGGTTCTTGATGAGTTTGTAATTCTTTTTATGATTTTTATTTTTAGCGACTTATGATATCACAAATGATGATATTGAAAAAATGTCGAACGCAGCAGTTGAAGTCTCTGCAGTGCCATCAGCTGGTGATGAGTTTACAAAAGAAAAAGTAGTGGAACGGTAAACACTGGAGAAGATTGACTAGTTAGAAATTCAAGATGTTAATTCATTCAGTTTTCATATTATTATATGTTATTGCCATTTGATTTCTGAGTTTGTTGTAACTTCTATTAACAGGAGCGGAACTGAACAAACAGAAGCTGAGAAAAGAGGAGATGAATTATATCGCACAGCAATGCGATTTCTGGATAAGGGACGAGCTGCTTCGACTGAAGCTAAAAGAGCTGCATATAGACTTCTAGATGAAGCTGCCCAACTCAAGCACAAAGAGGCAATGAAGTTAACTGGTGCGTTATATGTAGTTGTGTATACCTGTTGAAAATAAGTATAAAAACTTTAAAATAAGTGTAAAAACGTTTAAAATAAGTATAAAAACGCAGAGATATCAATACTTTTAGTTATCTTATAGGTATGGATGCGATAATATTGTTTTCATTTACGTGACGGCCTTTTTTACGGTTTCTTTCAAATATTGTTTCATTTTATTATCCATCAGAGGTCTAGGTCTAAATAATGCCTTTTCTAGCTTTTGCATATTTATTTGGTGATTATACGCGATGGAATATTGATGAAGCACGAGCAGTATTTGAAGAATTGGCAGCGGGTGGTTCAGCTGATGCACAGCTCGCCTTAGGATTCATGCATGCTATTGGTTTAGGCGTTCCGGAGTCTTCGCAAGCAAAAGCACTAATTTACTACACTTTCTCTGCTTTGGGTGGAAACCCTTTGGCTCAGATGGCCTTAGTACATCTTTTATTCTATTTCTCATTTTCAGTTTTAATTGAGATAGAATTCTTATTAATGTCTTTTCACTGGTGTGGGAAGACCGTATTTGATGGATTCATAGTCTTTTATTTTTTTTGACTGTTCATGCTGAACTTGTCGCTTGATTTCACTGCTTTGCTAATTTCAGGGTTACCGGCATTGGTCGGGTATTTCCGTGCAACAAAACTGTGAGCGTGCACTTACTTGGTACAGAAAAGTAGCTCAGCGTGTAAATGAGCAAGTCCGCATCTCAGGTGGTACAGCAATGCAACGAATACGATTGCCTGATGAACAGGTTTAAAATATTTGATTTGTGATCTACTTTGCACCTCACTTTTACTTTTCTTGAAATTTTTGCATTTTTGGAGATGAAGAATTTCGAGATTTCTTGCTGCTGAACACTTTCTTCCGTCTTTTGTCCTTGTTACCAAAGTTTTTTCAGGACACTGTCAGTACCTCTTCCTCGAGTTCGATTCTCGACTCTAACTTGTTAAATTATTACAAATATTTGGCAGATAAAGGCGATTTGCAAGCACAGGTAAGAATCAGCATATGGAAATATGCTCAACTGTAACATGATCCCGTTATATTCTTATATTTGTTGAACTGCGCTGAAAAAATTGGACCTGGGAGATTAGTTATTCGTATGTGACCGTTATATTTAGACCTGCATTTGTTGATATCATTTTATTTGACATCCAGTTTAGATAACCATTCAAACAAGCAAATTTGCAATGACACCCTCCCATAGTATCACTTTTCGAATAGGATAAAAATGTGAGAACAATGATGATTCATTTATGACCCTGAACCCTTCCACTCGTTGACGATATTACTGTCATTACAATTTACCTTAAAGGAAGCATCTTTTGCTGGAGGTGTAACAGTGGAAGGTTAAAATAAATGAAAAATAAATAAAGCTCTCATCGTGAAGAACTAAATTCATCGGATGTTAGGAAAATAATGTTAAGAAGAGCAAAGATCAAACGCGCAGTTAAAAGAAAAATGGGTTACCAGTGTGGAAGCATGATAAATTATTGGTTTAACTGTGAAATCAATGTGGGAAACTTCGAAATAAATGCCCTTTTTCACAAATTACGGTCATACAAACTGGAAATGAAAGTTCAGGACGGGTCAAGCTTCAAAGCACTACAGTATAAAATAAATCACTTTTAGCCATGTTATGCATGGCAGGATTTCAAATCGTACCATGTGTAATAGTGGCTTAAAGGAAATGTCATTATGAGAACAATTTTTATCACTAAAAATAATGGCAAAAAAACAAACGTTACTGGCAGAAAATAGTCATTAAAAATGTAAGGGTGGTCACCATATAGTTTTTTTACGTTCACACGATCTTTCCTGTACGGCAGTTGGTTTCTTTGATTCAGATGGTAATCGTTATTTGATAAGGGAAAAAAGATGTTCTTGAATTTTGAATCCTGATTTTGAAACAAGGTTTACTAAGCAATGTGTGTATTACCGAGTTCTTGCTGTGATTACCAATTTTAACGTGTTCGATATGTCTTTAATGTACTACCTATGATGATTTGGTTCTACTGATGGAAATTTAATTTAAGGTTGGTCTTGGTCAGCTATACTTAACTGGTGGACGAGGCGTGGAACAAAATATGGATTTAGCCAGTCAGTATTTTTCAACAGCTGCTCAGGCGGGTAGCACTAATGCATATGCATATCTGGGCAAAATGTATTTGGATGGCACATCAGCGACACCACAGGATAATGCTACTGCTTTTCAATTTTTTAAAAAAGCAGCAGATAAGGTATTGCGATGTGTTACAGTTCAGTCGTATATTTTGCATATATTTGTAATTTAATGACAATTTGAAATAGCAGTAAATATTTGCTTTGTTTTGGTTTGTAGGGGAATCCAGTTGGACAAAGTGGTCTGGCCATAATGTATATGTATGGTAAAGGAGTAAAACAGGATTATACCAAGGCGGCGAAATTGTTTACTTTGGCCGCTGAACAAGGATGGGTTGATGGGCAATTAAATTTAGGCTATCTTCATTTCAGTAAGTTTGTATAATTATATGTATAATTTCTAGCTTCGTATATTTTGGATTATTTTTCTTAGATATGTCATGTTTTTCGAGCCACTAGGGTATTTTATTATTCTAACTTAGAAGCAGAAGCCAAGAAAGTATACTTCAAACGGTTTCCCCTACTTTTAACGTAAATTTGAAATGAGTCTTAATGATTAACTGCTTACAGGGCATTTCATGTTATCATGAATCTGTGAATGCCGATGTATTTTCAGGAGGGCTCGGAGTAAAGAGGGACTTTAAGTTGGCCATAAAATATTTTCAGCTGGCTTCCCAATCAGGGCATGTCAATGCTTATTTTAATCTGGCACAAATTCACGCTACAGGTGGTCATTCTCAACAATTTTTATTCTGGATTTATTTGATCTATGAAGCAATTTTCTGTTTCACTTTCTTCCGCTCTTTATGAAGCATACTGAATGGATTTCATAATTTTTCAGGTACTGGTGTACCTCGAAACTGTCATACAGCTGTTGAACTATACAAGAATGTTGCTGAACGAGGACGTTGGTCCGAGCGTCTTATGGAAGCATATGCTAGTTATCGTAGTGGGCGAGTAGATGAAGCTGCCTTCAAGTATCTTTTTTTAGCCGAGCTAGGCTATGAACCAGCACAAACCAATTTCGCTTATATTATCGATCGTGGTAAGTTCCTCGAATGATTTTGCAGAGAATATGGAATTATCATATGATTATGATTTCTGAAAGAACAACAAGTAATGTTGTATCGTTTGTCTATTTTAATTCTTCTAATTTTTAGGAGAATCGAATCTGTTTCCGAGTGAAGAGGCATTACAACGTGCTTTACTTCACTGGCAGCGTTCCGCAAATCAAGATTATGCTTACGCGCGCATAAAATTAGGGGATTATTATTATTACGGTTATGGTACTCCCGTTGATTACGAAATGGCGGCAGCACAATATAAAATTGCTAGTGACCGACATCAAGCCGCACAGGCAATGTTCAATTTGGGCTATATGCATGAGCAAGGCCTTGGGATCAATAAGGTTTCTTTCCAAGCAATTCCTTTTTATTTTTACGTATTCCGGAAATTTATTCAAGTTTAACTTATATAATGACATACAGCAATCTTTATTGTCGGCATGTACTGGTTTGTTGTCAAATCATTGTTAACTTAAAGTTTCGTGGTCTTCAAAATCAAACCGATTCTTATTATTGTCTTGCAGTATTTTTAGAAAATAAATTGCAGTACTTTTGGAAAATAAATAAGGCCAAAAGTCGAATTTCAAATAAATGACTGGATTCTGGAAATTTTTGGAATATATTTCAGGATATTCATTTGGCAAAACGATTTTATGACATGGCGGCGGAAACAAGTGCGGATGCTTATATGCCAGTTAATCTCGCTCTCATGAAACTTACTGCTCTCTTCTTAGTGGAATATTTTAAAGAGGTTAGTGTGAAAATGATTCGCGCAGTTATTTAAGTCGATGAAGTACTGAATTAAGTTTTGTACTTTCAATGCTCATGCTACTCTCCTAATTCTAGCCGTAGTTATTGCATGTTGTTAATTTTTGCGAAGAAAAGATATTTATTGCTCATCTTTTGTGCGCTTAATTCATGGGAAGTAGATTTCGAGACTTTGTAATTTCTAAATTATGATTAATAATAGTATAAAGGCAAATATTTTTCAGAATTCTTTTGTGACAATGCTCGATTATGTCTTCGGTGCTAACTGGGACTTGTATGCGATAACGTTATGCCTTGGCTTAATAGTTATGTTATGGATGGGTTATAGAAGGCAGAGGCTTGTGGGGCTTGTGCATTGAGACATCTTCAAGTTGCAAGTGCTTTGCAGAGCCTCCTCTTCAATATCTTTTGGAAGCATGGGAATAACTGTAATATTTGCGGAAATATATTATTTTAGATTTTTATCCATTTACTTCTTTTGTATTCATCGAATTACATTTCCTTTTATTAAAACTCGAGGTTTTATCTGTAGTATACGTCATGGACTTATGTTACTCTACCCTTTATCCTTTTGCATTGTTCAGATGTGAAAGTAGCTTATTCTTAAAGGAAATTAAAGATCTATTGTTTTTCAAATGCAATGTGGCAGCCTTGGTATAATATTTGAGTTAATTTTATATTTCTGGGATGCGAATGTTTCCTCATTTCCTTTTTACTTGTACATGCTTTTTAAGCCAAGTTAGCGGATACGGGTAAATGCATCGTACCATCTAACAAATAGTAGTGTCAACGTATTTCTTATTCATTTTCTTATCTCTTTTATTGTTTCTTAATCGGGCGTATTTATAGCTATTTGTTTCGTTATGTTTCATCATCTTTATAAGCATTGTTTTTAGGAGATGGACTGATTATGGCAAATAAAACTTCCATTATGTGATAATTTTTACGGAAAGGGCACTAGTCTAGACTATTATATATACATATATATATATATATATATATATATATATATATATATATATATATATATATATATATATATATATATATATATATATATAT